ATCCCAGGCAGAGGCAGAGGCAGGTGGGTCTCTGTGAGTTCTATGTCAGCCTGGAACACATAGCAAGTTCCAGAGCAGTCAGGTACACACAGTGAGACACTATCTTAATGAGGATGGGGTGGGGGAGTATATTTATGTTTCAAAATTCTGAAAGTAGGACTCCTTCAAATGATGAGACAAAGGGTTCAGAGACCCTGAAGCAAAATAAAATGAAATCATTCTGATGCGTGGATGTAGAGCCCAGGAAGCTGAACGGTTCCACTGACCTCTCTGGATGGTCCTCTCAGGAGGTCCCAGTGGGATGAAGCCACAGGGCAGCACAGGCGTAAGGCACAAGTGTTAGAGGTCATGCTGTAGTATTAGCGTGAGGTGTGCAGAATTTGGACTGATGAACTCAAACCAAACCATCAAAACGACAGCAAATCAGGTCTGTGGCATGACACCAGATCACATAATAAAACTGGAGTTTTGTATTTATAATCTTATTGTAACATAATATGATCAAAAGCAGCGGACTGAACGAAAAACTCAACAGATTCTCAGAAATGAAGTGTTTTCCCACTGCTGAGCTGTGAATGACTCCTGTACTTGTTGTAGCGGCGACGGAGCTCAGTGATAGGGGCTGGAGAGACAACTCGGTGGCTAAGAGCATACACTGCTCACTGCAGTCCAGAGGCCTCAGGTTCAACTCCCAGCACCCACACGGCTGACAACTGTCTGTAACTCCAGTTCCAGGGAATCTGATGCCTGTTTCTGTCCGGACACACAACCGGTGCACAGACACACATACAGGCAAAACATCCATACCCAGAAATTTAAACAGAACCAAGCTACCCAGTGTTAGCCTTTGCATAACTCATGACGTATGCCCTGTGATGTTTTAAGCAAAGTTTCCTTCTAGCCTAGCCATTGCTTGCCCAGATACATCCCAGATACAACCTTGAACCATGTTTCCAAATTCAGTAACTCAAAGTCCCCTAGCTCAGCGGCCAATGTTTGAGCTGGTGACTGCCACAGCTCCTGGATCTACTAGACCACAAGAGTGGCAATACAGGATTAAACAAGACCTACAGATGTTTGTTTGCATGTCCTGAGTCTACTGGAGAACAGAAAATTTGAGAAAGTCCTTGCCTCATGTTTCTAGTCGATCAATAAGGAAGAAAAGAAAAAAAGAGAGATTGTTATATAATCGCTAACACCCCCAACACCTTGTTCTCTGACTGCTAGTCACCTAGTCTAGACTTTTCTTCATACGTGCAACACAAATCATGTCATTGTAATTAAGTGTGTCATATTTAAATCTCCTGTGCCTGGTTCTCTAGCAGACAGGGCTGAGGCAGAGCGGCTCCAGCCCATTTCTCCCTGGGGCTGAGCAGGATGGTGAGTGTTGACAATCCAGACCTCCAGCAGCCATGGAGGAGAAACACACACTGAGCTGGGAGTCTGTCAAAGCAGGAGCTCACTTGATTGCCTCAGGGCAGAAACTTATATAAGGCTGAGGTAGTGGACTGGAGTCTTGGGGTGGGGTGAGGTGGAGTGAAGAATAAGGGCCAATAATATCCTGCCATGTCAGTGGTGACTAGACAGAGGCGGGTCTAGGTCAGGCTGTACTGAGTCACTCCTCTCCAAACTCAAGTTAGGCTTCGGAAGTAACTCAAGTTACTGGGCCTCTTCAAATTCAGGTTAGGCTCAGGAAGTTACACAGGGCCTCATGAGGCCCAACTCTCTTGGCATTATGAAATCTGGATGTTTGTAGATGAGGGAAGACATTCAGCTTTGTAGACTTCATCATTTAGTTCAATAGAAAAATAAAATGACATGGTAGCTGAATACCTCCCAACGCAGCAAAGACAGTCCCCCAGACAAGTCATTACCTACTGAATTGGAGCTGATTGACAGTTATGTGGCTTCACAGGTGTTTGTTCACTCAGCCAAACGGAACAGGTTAATCATCTCCTATTCCTGTTCTTCTTTTATGAGATACCCTCAGTAAAACCTCTCAAGAAAAAAAATACCAAAAAAATACACATCTGGGTCCATGGCATGTTTATCTGGACAAGGGGTTGACAGCAGGGCTTGAGACGTGAACACTAGAGAATGCCTATTTCCTCAAAAATAACCAGACAGGGCTCCTCTTCACTAAGTCAGGAAGGGGGAGAATTCCAAATTAGGATCCGTGACATACTGGATTGTGAAAATGAGACCAAATTAGGGCGTTCAAACAAAGTAGGTGCTGAGCTGAGCGGGGCTGCAAAGCTATTGTCAGAGATGTAGACAAACAGATGTTTAGCTATGAGATCCTGGCAGGAAGCCATGAGAGGGCCACCATCGTGGTCATGGCTTATGTGTAGGAGCTTGTGAGAGGCAAATGGAATAGGATCTCAAGCCCTGGTCTTACAGAAGCTCAGACATCAGTGATTCACAGAATAAGCCTGATTTCCCCCTTAGATTAACATCACACCCCGAGCCTCTGCTGGTGCCAACTTTGTCCAGGACCCCAGTTATCTGCCTTCCCCTGTAGGCTCCATCAACCCCTGACTTCGTTTTGCCCCTCCTAAAAACGACCCTGACTTAATCCCCTGTTTTTAATCTCTGCCGCCTCTTGTTTCAGTCAAGTAAAGAAAGAAAAGCAATGTGTACAAGTAACAATTCGTTTATGTGAAGAAACCCAGATCCCTCTGCAAGCAGTGGTCTCTCTTACAGCTCAGTTTTACAAGCCCCACGCTGTCCCCCTGTGCACCGGCTGTGGCCTGTCCCTTAACAGTCTCAGCTTCTCCCACCAAGCCCTCGTCTTTCTCTGGCGTCATCTGTGTGCCAATGGTCAGCCTTCCTTTCAAAGTCCCAGTTATAAAAGCAAGAGATACAAGAATATGTGTTCAAGAAAATAAAAGCCAGGAGCGCTGCGTAGATGGCTCAGCAGTTCCAAGCTCTTGTTGCTCTTTCAGAGGACCGGGGTTCAGTTTCCAGCACTTCCACGGTCGGCTCACAGCTCTCCATAGTGCCAGCTCTGAGGAATCAGATGCCTTTTGTTGTTCTCCACGGGCATGAGGTACACACATGATACACATACATACATACATGTAGACAAAGCATTCATATTTATAAAATAAAACTTTTGAGACATTTTTGGTGTTTCATTTGTTTGTTTTGAGACAGGATTTCTCTGTGTAACAGCCCTAGCTGTCCTGGAACTTGCTTTGCAGACCAGACTGGTCTTGAAATCACAGAGATCTGCCTGCTTCTGCTTCCCAAGTCCTGGGATCAAAGGCATGCACCATGACATCCAGCATGTAAGTTTTTTTCTTTTTTAAAGTATATATATTGACACATGCCTGCAATCCCAGCACAGGACAGAGACAAGAGGATCAGGAGTTCAAGGGCATCATAGCAAGTTCAAGGCCAGCCTGGGCTACAATAGGTCCTATCTCAAAACATAAAATATAAAGTAAACCAGGGTTTGGTTATTTTTAAATGCATGTAAATAAACCGTATTGTTTTTGTTTCTTGGAGGGTGCACAGTGGCTTCTCCCAGTGACCGGGGCTGCAGTGCGGATTGCCCTTAGAAGAAGCATTGCTCTGGCATGCCTTCGACACTGCTGCCATGGGTCACAGCTATGCCACTCTTCCTATTTCCACCCAGGATTGTGAAGATGTCCAGTCCCAATCTGAACATTGTGACCTTACTGGGCAGCTGTCTGACTTACAGTAGCGCTTACCTTTTTGGGATTCAAGATGCTTCTGTGGGGAATTCAATGGAAGCACTCGTTCAGGTAAGTGACATTTTGAAATTTTGTTTCGGACACCATGTTAGATTTTGATAACATTTCACGATGGTAGCTCTGTCTATGAGTGGCAGATATGTATCCATGTTGTAGTTATGTATCCATGCTATAGTTATATATCTGTATTGTATCTGTGTTACGGGCACATTCAGTGAGGCCCACTTTCTACCCCTGTCCTCTGTGGGCCTGAGATGTTGATGATGGAGGAAGGTTCCACTGTGACTCTTGCTTCTGTCCTCATTTGCCCTCAGATGAGACTGTCCATGCTGTGCATTGGGACATCCCTTGTGTTCGGCCCTATTCTGGGGAAGAGCTGGCGACTCTACAAGGTGTTCACCCAGAGGGTCCCCGACAAGAGAGTGGTGAGTTGGGCAGCCGGTACACAGTGCTGGTTTGCAGCAGGAGCTCCACGGAGGCTCAGAGCTGGGGAAGTTAGTGCAGACCTTTGGGACAGCTACAGAATGGCTGGAATTCTTGCTCCTCACTTCAATCCTTAGAGTGATGTGACTCCATAAAGCCCCAGACTTCTTGGATTGAGAATGAGCACAGCCGGGAACTAGATCTGGGAACATGGGCTGCTTTAAGTACACCAGGCTCCACGGGAACCTGTGAGCTGGCCAGTACCTGACACAGGGGGAATGAAAACAAGATGCCCAGAGAGCCCGGCTCTTGCCATCGATGGGACCGGTACGCCAAGGGGGGGGGGGTGTAGAAAAGCTATAGCTAGAAGCAGAATGATTTATCTCTCTAGGGCGCAGGTCTTTTCTATATAGGCAGTTTTCTGCCCTGAGAAGGGCATAGCTAAAGCAGTGAGCAAGAAATGGGACTCAGCAGGCTTGACTGTGCAAGCCCCGCAGCAGCTAGGTCACCCGCATGTCCTGACATCCAACATTTATTATAACCATACTCCTCCACTTTATCAGATTCCCTGATATGACTGCCCAGACCATGAGTCTCTTTGGCTAGAGACTCCCCAGACTTTATAAATAATTCTGTCAGACTACTTCTCTGTAATTATGGGATGTTAAAAACCAAACATTATTGAATCATGATGGCTACTTAGCAAAAGTTTGGCTGTGAGTAAGCACACAGATGCAGAAAGTTGGCTAAAAGGACGGAGTTCATCCCTCTTGATACGGTTTTTCAAAACTAGTTTGGGTTATTTTGGGGGGGGAGAGAATTGACACACAAGAAATACAATATTAAAAGTGTGACAGGATACTTACCTGGCAGGGGAACACCATGATTAGGAGGTGGTTTTTCCAGAGAGAGGCTCACACACTTAGGGTGAGCTGACCCCTGAGATTTCCACACACACAGGAAACTCAGCTGCATAATTTGTGGTAGTGAGGGACTGTATTAGCTCTCTCCCTTGAATAAAAAGTGTGGTATTATGTCAACCCATGAAACATGTGATCCTGCAAACTCCGCCATCCCCAGGTGCTCAACATCCGCTGCCCTTTGTTACATCGTCACATTGTTACATTTGTCACATTGCTACATTGTTACATTGTCACATCGCCACACTGTTGTATTGTTACATTGTTACATTTGTCGCATTGTTACATTGTTACATTTGTCACACTGTTACATTGTCACATTGTTACCTTGTCCCTCCCTTCCCCGAGGACACCACTGTTTTGCTTTCTGGCATTAAAGATTAGTTTTCCCTTTCCAGAGGTTTCCATCAGTGGAATCATGGGCTGGAGAGATAGTAGAGCAGTTAGTGCAGTTGGATTCTCAGCACCCATGTTGAGCATGCGCACATACCTACACAAAAGTGCACACATGTGTTTAATTTAAAACTAAAATCTTTTTTAAAAAAACAAACTTTATATTTATTTTATGTGTGTGAGTGCTGTGCCTACACGTATGTATGTGCACCATGTGTGTGCCTGTGACCAAGGAGGTAAGAATCGGACATCAGATTCCGCAGAACTGGAGTTACAGATGGCTGTGAGCCACCACGTGTGTGCTGGGAACCAAATGTAGATCCTCTGTAAGTACCTTTAACCACTGAGCCATCTCTCCAGCACCTAAAAACAAATCACTGAAGAGAAACAAAAGTTCAAAGTCATCCTTAGCCACATAGTAAGGACACATGAGACCCTATCTCAAAAATAAATAAATAAACTAAAATAAAATTTTGCTGCTGGTGACATAGTTCAGTGGGAAGATTGCCTGCTGTGAACCATGGAGTGGGTACTCTTCTTTAATCTGGTTTATTTTATTCATGTAATGATTTTGAATGTAATTGCTCATCCATATTGCTGTGTACAGCAGTCGTTTATCTGTTTGCCCATTGATGGAGTTTGAGTTGTTTCCAGTTTGGGATTAATACAGACAAAGATGGTGTGAACATTCATGTCCTCATATTTGCATAGATACATGCTTCCATTTTCTTTGCTCAAAACTTGAGAGGAAAATGGTTGGAGCACATGGCCAGGGTGTATTTAACTTTGTTCTGCATGTTTTTGTTTTGTTTTGTGTTTTTTGTTTTTGAGGTGAGGTCTCACTGGGTAGCCCTAGCTTGCCTGGAACTCCACTATGTGTGGAACTCACTATGAATTCAAGATTGGCCTTGAATTCACAGAGATCTGCCTGCCTCTGCTTTCTGAGTACTGGAATTAAAGATGTGTGCCCCCACTCCTGTGTTAACTTCTTCTTTGTGGCTCATGCTCTGGTTATTAAATATAAGAAATATTTGCTTAATCAGTGTCATCAAAAGTTTGATTTTTTTCTCCTGAATTTACTTCTAGAAATTTTAGAGTTTTTTCAAATGTATGTGTGTGTGTGTGTGTGAAAGAGAGAGAGAGAGAGAGAGAGAGAGAAAGAGAATACTCTTGCCACAGCATATGTATAGTTCTCTCCTTTCACCATTTGGGACCGGGGGATCAGCTCAGGTCGTCAAGCTTGCTGACAAGCAGTTTTACATGCTGAGCCATTTCACCCGCTCGCAAACAAGTTTTTAAATTGGTTTGCCAATCTGCGAAAAAATAATGTTAGGATTATGACTAAAAATGCTTTGAATCTAAGATTAAACTATTAAGAATTGATTCCTTAACAATGATGGTTTTAAATCTATAACTACTGTACATGTCTCCACCCATTTAGGTTTTTATTAATTTATCTCAGCAATATTGTGTGTTTCTTAGTATAGAGCTTCCACAAATTTTCCCAGATTTATTACTCTTCCAGTTGTTATATGTTGCATGTTTTAGTGTTTTGTAAACTATACTTTTGTATTGATTTTTGCTCAGATGCAGACAGACAGGTGGGTTTTGATGTTGATCATGTGTTTCAACCTTGCTAAATTCCATAAGAGTTCTAGCAGTTTCATTTTAAGACGGTCTCAAGCTGACCTCTGTCGTCTAAGCTGGCCTCAGATTCATGGTGATCTTCCTGTCTCAGCTTCCAAAACACCAGACTACAGTCATTCTAGCATGTGCAGATTTGTAGCAACTTCTTTTTATTTTATTTTATTTTATTATGGTTTTTCGAGACAGGGTTTTTCTGTAGCTTTTGGAGCCTGTCCTGGAACTCGCTCTGTAGACCAGGCTGACCTCAAACTCACAGAGCTCCACCTGCCTCTGCCTTCTGAGTGCTGGGATTAAAGGCATGCCCCACCACCACCCAGTTCTTCTAGCAACTTTTTAATAGACTCTATTAGATTCTCTGTATTGCTGTCACATCACCCATGAATAAAGAGCTCTTTTCTGATCGAACTGGAAAAAAAAACAATAGTACAACTTCAAACTGAGGTGACAAGAGTAAAATATCCTCCAATTGTTGTTATTTTATATAAATATGTGTGTCTTGACCACATGTATATCTGTGCACCATGTGCATGCAGTGCCCAAGGGGGCCAGAAGAGGGCATCAGATCCCTTGGAACTGGAGTTACAGATATTTGTGAGGCTCCATGTGGATGCTGGAAACTGAGCCTCTGCTGGCGCTCTTAAAGGATGACCCCTCTTTCCAGCTCCCTTCAATTATTCTTGACTTATGGGGAAGCCCTTCCATACTAAGCATGGATTGGGTCTGTGGCTTATCCTGTAGCCACTTAGGAAGCAGAGGCGGGAATTTGGTGAGTATGAGGCCAGCCAAAGCAAGACCCTGTCTCAAAAACAAAACAAAACAAACAACAAAAAGAATCATCATGTTCATGCATGAAGAGGTCATAATGAGTTGCATTATCATGTATAATTAATGTATACTAACAAAAACATTTTAAAGAATGAACAAAAGCATGGATGTTGGCTGCAGTTTCATAGACTATTTTTCCAGTAGTGGAAGGTTTTTTGTGTCCCCCCTTAGGTTCCTGATAATTTTTTATCAATATTGATGCTGGGTTATGTCTAACAAAATTTCCTTGTCTATTGAAGTTGATATATTATTTTCTTGTTTGATGTGCTCATATGATGGATTGTGTTAAAATGATTGTGGGATGCCCAAACAAACTTGTATTCCTGGATAAACTTGTTGGTCATGCGCTGTTATGTGCTTTGTGTTTGGTAGAGTTCCTTTTCATAAAAATTTTATTTGGATTTGCACACTTACACTTTTAGCAGCTATTGCTTTGTAGTTTTCTTTTCTTATAGTGCGTTCATTTACCTAGTTTGGGTAGCAGGGTAATCCTGATGTTGTAGAATGAGCTGGGAGCAATTCCTTTCTCTGGTTTCTAGGGAGCTTTGTAGACAATGGTAAAATTGCTATGTACTTCTCACCACACAGCAGGGTCCTTCCCTTTCTTCTCATCCCAATCTGTGTGCCATTGCTGTGCACTTCTCACCACACAGCTGTGCACTTCCCGTCTTCTCATCCCAATCTGGTTGCTATTGCTTTCATTTTTACATGTTCTATAAACCCTATTCAGTTGTCATAATTTTTATTAAATAATTATCTCATAAAGGAATTTAGAAAAATAAATAACATATTTTTCTACATAGTTGGTATTTTCAGTGCTCTTAATATCCTGTACACATTTTTTGTTTGTTTTTTGAGATGAGTTCTCACTATGTAGCCCTGATTGGCCCGCCACTCACAGAGATCCATTTGCCTCTGCCTCCTAAGTGCTGGAATTAAATAAGTATATAACCACACTCAGCCTTATAGCCTCATTTTCATTTGATATCATTCCCTTTTGACCTGAAGGATTAAAAACGTTCTAGTGTGAGTGTAGAAGTGCTGAACTCTTTCAGCTTCATAGGACTGAAGATGTCTTTATTTTGACTGTATTCCAAAAGGTATATTGCCACTTGGTTGTTGTGTAGTGTTGGGGGGTGGAGCACAGGCCACTCACACTAGGCAGTGGATCTACCGCTAGCTGCAACCCAATCTTTGAATGTTTCCTTTTGTTTCTGTACTTGGATGAAGATGCCCTCTCCCACTGTCTTCTCACTTGGCCTTATATGGTGAGGTCTGACTCCTGATCTTTGCTCCTCCGTACAGAGTGTGTCTTTTTCCCTAATTGTTTTTCCCTAAAGTGGTTTCTCTTGTGAGCAATTTGATTAAGCAAAGTTTATCTTGTTCTTGTGAACATTATAACTGGCTTGCTTCTTTCTTTTGGTGGTTGTCAAGAACGTGGATCTACCACATCCATCACTCTGTAGAAAAACGAGACTCCAAATAGATCAAGGACCTCAACATTAGAACAAATACCCTGAACATGGTAGAAAAGAAAGTGGGAATAGACTTGAACTCACTGGCACAGGTAAAGCGTTTCTGAACAAACAGCATAGGCATTAAGACCAACAATTAATAAACGGGACTTTGTGACACTAAAAACTTCTATACAGAAAGGACACCGTCATTTGGACAAAGCAGAAGCCTACAGAATGGAAAAGTCTTTACCAATTAGATAGTTAGCTAGAACATACAAAGAACTAAACATAAAAAAATCGACAGTGTTATACATATTTTTATTAAATTGTCATAAACAGTTTAACATTTATTGTCATAAAAAAATTCTCACTTCATAAAAGAAAAGAGTCCAAGACAAGCACCTGTCTCTGCAGCTCATGCTGAGCCTTAGCCAGAGCAAGAGGGAAATGGATTTGTCAGGAACCTGTTATAGGACGCATGCAGAGAGGACAGATGTGAGCAGCCTTCAAGTAGCGATGACAGCAACTGCTTAATATGGAAAAGGGATCCCGGTGACTGCTTGGACAGATGATAGTGGGATTTTGACTCTATGCAGAAATGAAAAACCCAGGTGTTGAGAAGGCTTAGTGGGTAAAGGCACTTGCTGCCAAGTTTGATGATCTAAATTTGATCTAAAACCCATGTGATGGAAGGAGAGAACCAACTTCCACAAGCTGGCTTTTGACCTCTGAGTGTATGAACATGCACATATAACACACACATGAATACAATTTTTAAAAAGAACTCTTGGGGCCAGCGACCTAGGCTGGAAAAGGCCTGAGGCGGCAAGCTCCACAGGAGTGGGAGCAGATCCAGACCAGGGACATTTGAAGGCAGGACTGAGCTATAGTGGACCTGAGACAGTGAACTCCCAGGAGCAGGTACAGGGGAGCAACTGCTGAGCAAGAGAGCCAGAGCCAGAGACTGCCGAGGGGTCCAGGCGTGAATCTGGGACCTTCGAGGGAACAGACCTTTGCTGGGCCAGGCATCATTCTGGGACCTCTGAGAGATTAGGCAGAAACCAGAAACTCTGCAGTTCTGGGCGTGAGTCTGGGACCTCTGAGGGAATAGATCAGAGCCAGAGACCTTTGCAAAACCAACCCCAAGCCAGGGACCTCTGCAGGAGGAGATCCAGACTGGGGACATTTACAGAAACAGGTCTGAGCTGGCAGCCTAGACCAGAGCGGGCTTGAGACAGCAAACTCCAAGGAGCAGAGCAAACCCTGGGAGCGCTGAGCGACCTCCAGGAACACGGAGTGACCAATGGGGTAACTAGAACCTTGGCACTGACTGTACCATGAGGAACAACCATCTGAGCCCTAGATCGCTGGCACTTAGAAGATTAATCACCAGAGTCACAGACAGCCCCAAGCACAGCAATTAGGGGAAAAGATGAGTAGACGAGGTAAGAACACACACAACACTACAAAGAGCAAAATGACACCAGTAAAACCTAAAGACCCTACAGCAACAAGACTTGAACAACCAAATATAGATGGAAGAGAAGAAAATAACATAAGAAATAACTTCAGGAAAATGTTTGAGACTCTTAAAGAGGAAATGAGAAATTCCCTCAAAGAAATGGAGGAAAAGACAAACAAAAAATTGGAAGATATCAGCAAATTCCTTAAAGAAAACCAAGAAAATATAATCAAACATATAAAAGAAACTATTCAAGGCTTGAAAACTGAAATAGAGACAATTAAAAAACACAAACCAAAGGAATTATAGAAACAGAAATCATGAGAAAATGATCAGAAACCACAAATGCAAGCATAAACAGCGAAATACAAGCAATGAAAGAGAAAATCTCAAGCACTGAGATACAATAGAGGAAATAGACTCATCAGGCAAAGAAAGCATTAAATCTAACAAAAACTTAACGCAAAATATACAGGACATTTGGGACACCATGAAAAGACCAAACTTAAGAATAACAGGTACAGAAGAAGGAGAAGTTCAACTCAAAATCTCAGAAAATGTGTTTAACAAAATCACAGAAGAAAACTTTCCCAACCTAAAAAAAAAGATACGCCTATGAAGATACAAGAAGCTTATAGAACACAAAATAGACTGGATCAATAGACTCGCCACATAATAATCAAAACACTAAACATACAGAATAAAGAAAATATTAAGAGCTGCAAAGGAAAAAGGCCAAGTAACATATAAAGGTAGACCTATCAGGAGACAATGAAAGTCAGAAGGTTCTGGTCAAGCATTATGCAGACATTTAGAGACCACAGATGCCAGCCTAGACTACTAGACCCAGCAAAACTTTCAATCACCGTAGAAGGATAAAGCAAGATATTTCATGACAAAACCAGATTTAACCAATACCTAGTCACAAACCCAACCCTATACAAAGTACTAGAAGGAAAACTCCAACCCAAGGAAGTTGGCTACATCAACAAAAACACAGATAATAGATGAACGCACAACAGCAAATCCTAAAGAAGGGGAAAACACATAAATTAACATCACCACCAACTAAACTAAATTAACAGAAGATAACAATCACTGGTCATTAATATCCCTTAATATAAATGGATTCAACTCCCCTATAAAAAGACACAGGCTAACAGATTGGATACAAAAACAGAATCCATCCTTCTGTTGCATACAAGAGGAAATCTCAATACTGAACATCTATGCCCCAAATACAAGGACACTCTCATATGTAAAAGAAACACTTCTAAAGCTTAAATCATACATTAAACCCCACACACTAATAGTGGGAGACATCAACACTCCACTTTCACCACTGTACAGTCTGTCAAACAAAAATTTAACAGAGAAATAAGGGAACTAACAGATGTTATGACTCAAATGGTCTTAACAGACATCTATACAACATTCCATCCAAACATAAAAGAATATGCCTTCTTCTCCGCACCTCACGGAACCTTCTCAAAAATTGACCACATACTCAGTAACAAAACAAACCTCACGGCCGCTCCTGGTGCTGCCTGTGTGCTCCTTCAGTGCGGACCTGGTGCCTCTTTTGTGAAGCGGCAGCTGAGGAGACTCCGGCGTTCGCCATGGCCAACGAGAAACCCAAGGAAGGAGTCAAGACCGAGAACAACGACCATATTAATTTGAAGGTGGCAGGGCAGGATGGCTCTGTCGTACAGTTTAAAATTAAGAGGCATACACCACTTAGTAAACTAATGAAAGCCTATTGTGAACGACAGGGTTTGTCAATGAGGCAGATCAGATTCCGGTTTGATGGACAGCCAATCAATGAAACAGACACACCTGCACAGTTGGAAATGGAGGATGAAGATACGATTGATGTGTTCCAGCAGCAGACAGGAGGTGTCTACTAAAAAGGGAACCTGATACTTTACTCCAGAATTTTGTTATAGACCAAGAATACATTCGCAATTAGAAAGCCGCAATTTGGTTCCACCACATCCTGACTACTACGGTATAGTTTTCTCTATTCTTTCATTTCCCTGTCCCCATTTCTTTATTGTACATAAAGTAACTGGTGTATGTGCACAAGCATATTGCGCTTTTTCCTTTTTTCTTTTTTTTTCTTTTTTTTTTCTTTTTTAAACTAAATGGCCAATGTTCTGTTTTGATTGACATCAGATGGAGGTGGTCGGGGGAAGTACTGGTTCTGTGAAAATACCCCCTACTCCATTAGTGGCATGCTCATTCAGCTCTTATCTTTATATTCCAGTAAGTTATTTTGCTCTCAATGTTTTAACAAAAGAACCCAACCACAAATCCTTGCATATCTTGTTCGATTGGAGAATTTTAATGTTTTTCATTTATCATTGTAAAACCAAGGACAATTTTATAACTTTTTTGTACGTAGCTGTTACATGTAGGGCAATCTGTCTTTAAGTAGGAATAAATTACTCTTGAACAAAATGATCCTAGATAGTTTTCCCTCCAAGTCAAGCGTCTTGTTGTTTAAATAAACTTCTTATTTAAAATGGAAAAAAAAACCTCACTTTACAAAAAAAAAAAAAAAAAAACTAAAAAACTGGAATAACCCCATGTGTCTTATCGGATCACCACAGCTTAAAACTAGAATTCAACAGCAATACTAATGCCAGAAAGCTCACAAACACATGGGAATTAAACAATGCTCACCTGAATCATTAATGCGAAGAAAGAAATAAAGGGAGAAATTAAAGATTTCTTCAAACTCAATGAAAATGAGCACACAACATACCCAAATTTATGAGACACAATGAAAGCAGTGTTAAGAGGAAAGTTCATAGCATTAAATGCCTATATAAAGGAGCTGGAAAAATCACATACTAGTGAATAACGGAACATTTGAAACTTTAGAACAAAAAGAAGCAAACTCACCCAAAGAACTAGACAGCAGGACATAATCAAATTGAGAGCTGAAATCAACAAAATAGAAACAAAGAAAACAGTACAAAAATAAATGAGAAAAAGAGTTGGTTCGTTGAGAAAATCAACAAAATAGAAAAAGCTTTATCCAAACTAACCAAAAGGCAGAGAAAGAATATCCAAATTAACAAAATCAGAAATGGAAAGAAGGACACAACAACAAACATGGAGGAAAAACAGGATCATCAGGTCATATTTTGAAAACATGTACTCCACAAAATTGGAAAACTTAAAGGAAATGGACAACTTTCTGGATAAATATTACTTACCAAAATTAAATCAAGACCAGATAAGCAAATTAAACAGACCTATAAATGCTGAAGAAATAAAAACAATCATCAAAAGTCTCCCAACCAAAAAAATCCAAGGACCAAATGGTTTCAGCTCAGAATTCTACAAGATTTTCAAAGAAGAACTAATACCAATACTCCTCAAATTGTTCCACACAATAGAAACAGAAGGATCAATGCCAAACTTTTTATGAGGCTACAATTACCCTAATACCAAAATCACATAAAAATATTCCTAAGAAAGAGAATTGCAGATCAATCTCACTCATGAACATTGATGCAAAAATACTTAATAAAATACTGGCAAATCAAATCTAAGAACACATTAGAAACATCATCCACCGTGATCAAGTCGGCTTCATTCCAGAGATGCAGGGATGGTTCAACATACGAAAATCTGTGAATGTAATCCACCATATAAACAAACTGAAAAATAAAAACCACATGATCATCTCATTAGATGCTGAAAAAGCTTTTGACAAAATACAACATCCCTTCATGATAAAAGTCTTGGAGACAGAAGGGATACAAGGAACATACCTAAACATAGTAAAGGCAATATACAGCAAGTCAACAGTCAACATCAAACTAAATGGAAAGAAACTCCCAACGATCCCACTGAAATCAGCAAGAAGACAATGTTGTCCACTCCTCCATATCTATTCAATATAGTTCTTGAGGTCCTAGCTAGAGCAATAAGACAACAAAAGGAAATCAAGGGGATACAAATCAAAAAAGAAGTCAAACTCTCACTATTTGCAGATGATATTATAGTTTACCTAAGAGACCCCAAAACTTTTACTACAGAAATTCTACAACTCATAAACACTTTCAGTAATGTAGCAGAATAAAGATTAACTAAAAAAAAAATTCAGTAGCCCTCCTTATACAAATGACAAATGTGCTGAGAAAGAAATCAAAGAAACATCATCCTTCACAATAGCCACAAATAGCATAAAATATCTCGGGGTAACTCTAACCAAATAAGTGGAAGACTTGTATGACAAGAACTTTAAATATTTGAAGAAAGAAATTGAAGAAGGCACCAGAAAGTGAAAAGATCTTCCATACTCTTGGGTAGGTAGAATTAATATAGTAAAAATGGCAATCTTACCAAAAGCAATCTACAGATTCAATGCAATGCCCATCAAAATTCCAACAAAATTCTTCACAGACCTCAAAAGAACGGTACTCAACTTCATATGGAAAAGCAAAAAACTCAGTATAGCCAAACCAATCCTGTACAATAAAAGAACTTCTGGAGGCATCACAATCTGTGATTTCAAACTCTACTACAGAGCTATGGTAGGGAAAACAGTTTGGTATTGGCATAAAAACAGACAGGAGGACCAATGGAACCAAATAGAAGACCCGGATACTAAGCCACACACCTTCGAACACTTGATTTTTGAAAAAGAAGCAAAAAAATATAAAGTGAAAAAAAGAACACATATTAACAAATGGTGCTGACATAACTGGATATCAACATGTAGAAGAATGAAAATAGATCCATATCTATCACCATGCACAAAACTCAAGTCCAAATGAATCAAAGACCTCAACATAAAGCCAGCCACACTGAACCTCATATAAGAGAAAGTGGGAAGTAAACTTGAACTCATTGACATAGGAGACCACTTCCTAAATATAACTCCAGTGGCACAGACACTGAGAGAAACAATTAATAAATGGGACCTCCTGAAACTGAAAAGCTTCTGTAAAGCAAAGGACACGGTCAACAAGACAAAATGACAGCCAAAGAATGGGAAAAGATCTTCACCAACCCCATATCAGACAGACGTCGGATTTCCAAAATATACAAAAAACTCAAAAAATTGGTCATCAAAAGAACAAATAATCCAATAAAAATGAAGTATAGACCTAAACAGGGAACTTTCAACAGAGGAATCTAAAATGGCTGAAAGATACTTAAGGAAATGCTCAGCATCCTTAGCCATCAGAGAAATGCGAATCTAAACAACTCTGAGATTCCATCTTACACCTGTAAGAATGGCCAAGATCAAAAACACTGATGACAACTTATGCTGGAGAGGTTGTGGGGTAAAGGAACACTTCTGCATTGCTGGCGGGAACACAAGCTGGTACAGCCCCTTTGGATGTCAGTGTGGCAGTTTCTCAGAAAATTAGGAAACAACCTTCCTCAAGACCCAGCAATACCACTTTTGGGTATATATCCAAAGGATGCTCAACCATGCCACAAGGACATGTGCTCAGCTATGTTCATAGCAGCATTGTTTGTCATAGCCAGAACCTGGAAACAACCTAAATGCCCCTCGACCGAAGAATGGATAAGAAAAATGTGGTACATTTACACAATTGAGTACTACACAGCAGAAAAAAAATAACGATATCCTGAAATTTACAGGCAAATGGATGGAGCTAGAAAATATCATTTTGAATGCGAATACTCAGGCCCAGAAAGACAATTATTACATGTACTCACTCATAAGTGATTTTTAAACATAGAGCAAAGAAAACTAGCCTCACAATCCCAGAAAACCTAGACAACAATGAGGACCCTAAGAGAGACATACATAGATCTAATCTACATGGAAAGTCGAAAAAGACAAGATCTCCTGAGAAAATTCGGAGCATGGAGATCATGGGAGAGCGTTGAAGGGGAGGGGAGAGGCAGGAAGGGGAGCAGAGAAAAATGTAGAGCTCAATAAAAATCAATAAATTAAAAAAACATTCTCTTCATACTAGTCAAATTATAGAAAATACTAATTCCTCCATCTTTCAATCCCATACCTGAGTAAATGGTAAAGTCTGGTAGTAAAACCTCTCCATTTCTCTGCATGCTTATAGAGATGTATCTCTATACATCTAGAAATAAAAGTGAACTTCATTTATAAGACCCCTGGAAACCTTTGCCAGAAAAGTTAGAATATCAAAATATTAACCCAGCTGAATGGTGGTGCATGCCTTTAATCCCAGCACTCAGTAGGCTGAGTCAGGTAGAGCTCTGAGTTTGAGTCCAGCCTGGTCCACTGGGCAAGTTCCAGGACAGCCAGGGCAATGAGAAACTATTTTGCAAAACAAAAACAAAATAAACAAACAAAATGTTAAACAAATGGAAATGTTTAGTGGTAACAATAACAACAACTACTGAATATACGGGGAGGCGTTTGGTCTTACAGCCTCATCATGAATGGGGTTAGTGGTGGTGGCGTTGATGGCTGGGTCCTACGGAGCGCTGTTACGATAGCCCACAGCTCAGAGCACGGGCACACTCTAGCAACTGTGTTAAATACAGCCAGCAATCGAGGAGACATTCTGACCGTGACTCTTTTGCAGATTATCAAAGACCTGCAGTTGCTGGGGTTGGTGGCAGTCCTGGTGGTGGCTGATGTCATCCTGCTTGTGACATGGGTGCTGACGGATCCCATCCAGTGCCTCCAGATCCTTGGTGTGAGCATGAAGGTGAGGGCCTTTCCCTAGGCCTCATAATTCTTCATCTGGGCTGGGTTCTCTGGTCATCATTCAGCAGCACTCACTGAGCAGCTGTCCTGCAAAGAAATCGGGAGCCGTGGCTGCCCCGAGCACCCTGTCGCTTGTCTGCAGCCTGCGCTGCCACCCACAGCGCTCCTCATGCCCCTGATCTTCGCGTGGGTGTCCTCCCAGATGTCAGGGCATGGGGAGTCCGCCTGACGCGTCTCTCGGCTTGCAGTCACTGATGAGAACCTCCCGCTCTAGGGTGTTGCCTTCCGCTCCCTGTTGAGAGATACGGGTGATGTTTTGAGGCTGTCTCTATGATGCTTCACCTTCGGTTCAAAGCCACCCTGCGCCAGTCGAGCTCCTGGGGGAAGGCTACATAACCTAAGTCTCCTTTCCAGACAGAGGGGTAAGGAGGAGGTCACAAGATCACCTTCCTCACTGAGCTCAAGTGAAGATTAGGAGAAAGAGTTCAGATACAGGGGCTGAGTGGAATCAATACTGCAAGGGTCAGTGAATAAAGAGTTGACTGTTTTTGAATAATGGTTCACAGTGTGAAATACTCTTGTAATTCTGCTAAGGTGCTGTCTGAAGCTACCG